GGGGTGAAAACAAAAAAGGTAAGGCTATCGCTGTTCACGTGAATAGCGACAAACCTTGCCTTACCTTACCTTTGCCTTGCCCTTGCCCTTTGAGGTGGAGGTGCTCTAATCAAGCCATTATGTTTCGAATGGGAGACTGACTTGGATTGATTCTTTTATATGCCTTGATTGATAAATACTTCAATATAAATATTTCAGTTGTGCAGTTCGAAGACAAAGCAAATAGAGAGATCAAATCGGAATTATGATCTTTATTTCTCATAAACTGTATTCGAATGGACATTATAAGCTAAAGAATAATTGAATCCGAACCAACTAAATAAAAATCAACAAACTGCGAGGGTTTGAGAAAATGTGAATACAAAGAGGGTTATCTTAAGCATAACTGGAATAATGCCGTATGAATTGAGAAAATGGGACATGTGAAATGAATCGATTGATTGAAAGATAAAAGTTAAAGTTAAAGAAGCAACCAATTAGCATAACATCCGTAGGTATGAATTAAGTTTACATTTGTCAAAAGTTATAAAGCATTGGGGAATGCTAGCAAACATCTCACTAACCTTCTTCTTTATAAAAATCAACAAACTGCGAGGGTTTGAGAAAATGTGAATACAAAGAGGGTTATCTTAAGCATAACTGGAATAATGCCGTATGAATTGAGAAAATGGGACATGTGAAATGAATCGATTGATTGAAAGATAAAAGTTAAAGTTAAAGAAGCAACCAATTAGCATAACATCCGTAGGTATGAATTACGTTTACATTTGTCAAAAGTTATAAAGCATTGGGGAATGCTAGCAAACATCTCACTAACCTTCTTCTTTGGACCTTATCCATTTTCCTCATGCCATGTGTCATTTTCTTTACCCTTAAAAAAAAAACATTAATGCATAGCTTTTGTTTTCCAAAGTTACCCTTATTGAATGTATTAACTTTCTTTTGAATAAGTATTAAAAAAATAATAAATGTTATTAATATGATTAAAAAAAAATCTAATCATTTAACAAACACAAAATTTTGACAATATGAATTTCTAAAACATTAGTGGATAACCCTTTTGTAGTTTGGTAGCATATCAAATTTTGATTGATATAAAATACCCCCTCAGTTCCTAAAAAAAATACAAAGTTCACTTAAAAAAAAAAAATCAATTTTAGGATATTATTAATTAAAACATTAAGAAGGAAATATGAAAACATTGAAAAAACAACCCAGCCACAAGGGCGGAAGGAAGATGTTACGTAGGTCCAGTTTGAGATTGCTTTCACTTTTAAAAAAAGTTTCTTCTGCTGTGCTTTGAAAATAATTAGCTATAAAGTAAAGCATCTCTATGTTTGGTAAACAATATTTTTAAAGTGTTGTTAGTACACAAAGCAATGTCAAAACCGTTAGGTAAATTTTAATATAAAATTATTATAACTGTGAATAATGACTAAAGTAGACAGGATGTTAAAAGTGTTATGTACTAATCATGTGGTGGTAGTGGTAGTGATGGAGTGAGGTGGTGGTTGTGGTGATGAATGTGGAGTTGGTTGTTGTGGTAGTGGTGGTGGTGGGGATGGCGGTTGTGGATGTGGTGGTGGAGGAGGTGGAGGAGGTGGTGGTGGTGGCGGAGGATGAGGAGGAGGATGTGGTGGTGGCGGTGGTGGCGGTGGTTGTGGAGGTAGTGAATGTGGTGGTGCATGTGGAGTTGGATGTGGAAGTGGAGGTGGTGTTATTTTTTAAATAAATGATGGTATTTTGGGAATTAACAAAATTCATTAAAGGTTCATCTTAGCTTCTTTTGAAAGCAACTTTGAAAAGCAACCTAGTATCTGCTTTTAAAAGCTGCTGTCAAAAGGCCATTGCTTTTAAAATAATCGGGATATTTTATTTTTACCAAACATCTTAAACTGCTTAACTTTAAAGTGAAGCATATTTTTGGCGAAAAAAAGCCATCACAAACGAGGCATGTGGTATGGCTGGCAAGAGAAGCAACATATTTTGAGAGATGGACTGGGGCTGGTGGGTAAAACAAAATATTATTTTAATAATTTCTATTTTTATTTTTCCCATTTGTAAATTTTTTAGATAAATTAAATGTAATATGAAAGTCAATATATTTAAAACAAAAGCTATGCAATAATGATATTATTTTAGTATAAAGAAAGTGACACATGGCATGAGGAAAAGGGAGAATGTCCAAAAGATAAGATTAGATTAGAGAGAAGATTGCTAGCATTTCCCGAAATGATTTGCTGGAACAACAACAACAAAAAAACAAAAAGGTGAATAAGAGTGAAAATGATGGGTAAATTAGACATTTTATTGTTCTAGGTTGACAAATGGAATTTTTTAGTTGTACTATCTTGCCCTTGATCTTTCAAGTTCAACATAATGTGATTTGACAGAGGTCTTAACTTCGACTTCTTCCTATACGAAATCGCTTGTGTAATTTTTCTTTTTCTTTCTATTATTAAAAAGTATTTAAAAATAGGAACCGAAACGTGCAATCGCAGTCGCCGCCTCCTGTGTGGGTGGAGAGTGATCCAATCTCAATATAAAATCGAGAAGATCAAAACCAAAAATCAACAAACAAACAAACAAAATGAATCAATACACTGCCAGACTACATCTGTATTGGGAAAGAATACAAAATCTTATATAATCTCGCCAGCCGCCCCGTCGACTATGGCACATCATATTATACTATATCTCAATATGGAGACAGACTTGCTGTGCACCCCATGACCCTGTGGGTTTGAACACGTATGAACAAATTGTCAACCTCCACAGCCATTATTGACATTTGGATAGGACTGAAATTTTTGTATGAACCGCCATGTACTGTGCTTCCTTTGTCGCATTTATTTGTCTTTAAAAAAAATAAAAAAGGTTTTCTGAGCTTATGGAATTTGATCCTATAAATCTGGTACGGTAAAATACTTCTCTTCCCCAACTGCATATACCACCATCTTCCTCAGCTTTTGGTTAAACTTGTGTTTTATTTTAGAGAGAAGAAAGAATGGGTTCAAATGGTTTGATAGAGAAGCCACATGCAGTTTGCATACCATTCCCAGCTCAAGGCCACATTAACCCAATGCTGAAACTAGCAAAACTCCTCCACTACAAAGGTTTTCATATAACCTTTGTGAACACAGAGTTCAACCACAAACGCCTCCTTAAATCCAGAGGTCCCAACTCTCTCGATGGCCTTCCCTCCTTTCGATTCGAGACAATTCCCGACGGCCTGCCACCGATTGATGCCAATGCCACCCAAGATATACCATCCTTATGTGAATCCACTAGGAAACACAGCTTGCCTTACTTCAGAGACCTTTTGTCTAAGCTGAACTCTTCGACTGGTTGCCCTCCTGTAAGTTGTGTAGTTTCTGATGGTGTCATGAGCTTCACTCTTGATGCAGCCCACGAACTCGGCATCCCAGAAGTGCTTTTCTGGACAACAAGTGCTTGCGGCTTCTTGGCCTATGTACACTACCACCGCCTCATTGAAAAGGGTCTCACTCCTCTCAAAGGTATTAATCTCACTCCTCTGACTTTTTCATGAACATATCTTGACTGATTTATATTTTATATTTAGTTTTGTATATGAATATCTTAACCTAACCATGTTGCTTAATAGAATAATAACGCACTATTTCTTTGTTTGATTCACAGATGCTAGTTATTTGACAAACGGCTATTTGGAGACGCAGATAGATTGGATACCAGGCATGAGAGGCATCCGACTAAAGGACATCCCCAGCTTCATTAGAACCACAGACCGAGATGATCTCATGCTGGATTTTGTGGTGCATGAAACAGAGCGAACTCGAAAAGCTTCTGCTGTCGTCTTGAACACCTTCCATGACTTAGAACATGAAGCTTTCTATGCACTTTCAACTTTGCTACCACCTATTTACTCCATTGGACCCCTACATCTACAGATTAACCAGATCCCGGCAGATAGCGAGTTGAAGGAGATAAGATCAAACCTATGGACAGAGGAACCAGAGTGTCTAGAATGGCTTGACTCTAAAGAACCTAATTCTGTGGTTTATGTCAACTTCGGAAGCATCACAGTGATGACAGCAGAGCAGCTAATTGAGTTTGCTTGGGGACTTGCGAACAGCAATCATACCTTCTTTTGGGTGATTAGGCCTGATCTTGTTGGTGGGGATTCAGCTGTGGTTCCACCAGAGTTTGTGGAAGAGACCAAAGAAAGGAGCCTATTGGCACATTGGTGCCCTCAAGAACAAGTCCTGAGCCATCCGGCTGTAGGAGGGTTCTTGACTCACAGTGGTTGGAATTCTACCATTGAAAGTGTGTGTGCTGGAGTGCCCATGGTCTGTTGGCCCTTCTTCGCAGAGCAACAAACCAATTGTAGGTACAGTGAGAAAGAGCGGGGCATTGGCATGGAGATTGAGAGTGATGTTAAAAGAAACTACGTAGAGGAGCTTGTGAGAAAGTTAATGGAGGGAGAGGAGGGCAAAGATATGAGGAAGAAAGCTCTGGAATGGAAGAAGTTGGCAAAGGAGGCCACCAGCCCTAATGGCTCATCATTTGCGGCTTTGGACAAAATGATTAACCAGGTGCTTCTATCTCCAAGAAAGTAGAATTGATCAAAATTCTACCTAGTTGCTACTTTGTGTTTGGCCAAAATGTTAAACCAAAACATGGACACAACTATTTTGTGCGACTCAGTGATCGGTGTTTTATGTTTTGTAGACGTGGATAAGTCAACTTTGAAGAGTGTATTTTGTTGTAATGATTCTACATCAAATGAGTTTAATAATACATATATAAATGTATATTACATAGACAATTATTGCACGCCAGACAGAGTATGGGAAATAATACAAAATCGAATCTATTATTGACTGCCGTTCCAAAGATTATGACACATTACAGAGTCAACTTGAATTGTAAGGACAAATCAACTTTGTCATGGACTGTGCCTTGTTGGACTTGAAAGTTTATTTAGTGATTGATCCATTTTCTTTCTTTCCTACAAAACTGATACTGCAAAAGCCTTCTCTTCTCCACAACCATATCCCATTTTCGTTAGCTTTCTCCAAATTTTTTTGCGAGAACGAGAATGGGTTCTATTGGTTTGACAAAGAAGCCACATGCAGTTTGCATACCATACCCAGCTCAAGGTCACATAACCCCAATGCTGCAATTAACCAAACTCCTCCACTACAAGGGCTTTCACATAACCTTTGTGAACACCGAATTCAACCACAGACGCCTTCTTAAATCCCGAGGTCCCAACTCTCTTGATGGCCTCCCATCCTTTAGGTTCGAAACCATTCCTGATGGCCTCCCTCCAACAGATGCCAATGCCACCCAAGACGTAACCGCTCTATGCTTTTCCACTAGGAAAAATTGCTTAGCACCCTTCAGAGACCTTTTGTCAAAACTCAATTCTTTGCCCGATTCCCCTCCAGTTACTTGTATAGTTTCTGATGGTGGCATGACCTTCACTCTTGATGCAGCCCAAGAATTGGGCATTCCGGAAGTTATTTTCCAGACTCTAAGTGCTTGTGGCTTGATGTGCTACGTTCAGTGTCGCCCTCTCATCGAAAGGGCCTTAATACCTCTTAAAGGTACATACACCGACTTCAAATTCCTGAGTGGTCATTTGGGAACACTGACTTTGTACTAAAACTGTTACATATTTAACTAGAATTTTAACTCACCGGTACTATTACTTAATTTGATTTGCAGATGCTAGCTATATGACAAATGGGTATTTGGATACTGAGATAGATTGGATACCAGGCATGAGAGGTATCAGATTGAGGGACATCCCAAGTTTCATCAGAACCACAGACCCAAATGACTTCATGCTGGATTTTGTATTGGTTGAGATGGCACGAGCTAAAAGAGCTTCTGCCATAATTTTGAACACGTTTGATGCATTAGAGCATGAAGTTTTAGATGGACTATTGACTTTGCTACCACCTGTTTATTCTGTTGGACCCCTACATCTACAGCTTAATCAGATCCCAGCAGATAACGAGTTGAAGTCCATTGGATCAAACCCATGGACAGAAGAACCAGAGTGGCTTGAATGGCTTGACTCTAAAGAACCTAACTCTGTGGGTTATGTCAACTTTGGAAGCATCACAGTCATGACAGCTGAGCAGCTGATTGAGTTTGCTTGGGGACTTGCAAACAGCAACCAGACCTTTTTTTGGGTGATCAGGCCTGACCTTGTTGGTGGGGAAGCAGCTGTGGTTCCACCAGAGTTTATGCAAGAGACCAAAGAAAGGGGTCTATTGGCAAGTTGGTGCCCTCAAGAACAAGTTCTGAGCCACCCAGCTGTAGGAGGGTTCTTGATACACGGTGGTTGGAACTCTACCCTTGAGAGTTTGTGGGGGGGAGGGCCCATGATATGTTGGCCCTTCTTTGCCGAGCAACAAACCAATTGTAGGTTCTGTTGCAAAGAGTGGGGCATAGGCATGGAGATAGAGGGGGATGTTAAAAGAAACTACGTAGAGGGGCTTGTGAGAAAGTTAATGGAGGGAGAGGAGGGCAAAGAGATGAGGAAGAAAGCCTTGGAATGGAAGAAGTTGGCAAAGGAGGCCACCACTGGTCCAAATGGGTTATCTTTTGTGGGTTTGGACAAATTGGTTAACCAGATGCTTCTATCTCCGAGGAATTAGACATTTAGAATTGATTCAAAATCTATCTTGTTTTTACTTTGTATTTGTCCAAGAAGTTTACCTATTAAGCTTAATAATGCTTGTATCACGAATTCATTTTTCAGGTATGCATTTACTTAACATCGGTCCAATGTAAAATGAAGTCCAGGGCAAACGTAAGTGGCATCGGTTACCACATTGATGCACGATACCAAAGTTTCATGGCCATCTAACATAACTAAAGAGCTTGACATAACCATCTTACGCTAGTCTGCCTAAATTCCTGCATTGGACTTCCTTACTGTGCATTCTTAGGTTAATACACCAAGATTATCTTCTTTTTACACCCCCCCTCCTTCTCCTCTCTCTCTCTCTCTCTCTCTCTCTCTCTCTCATATAAATATACAAATATATTATTTAAAAACATCATAGGGAGCGAACGTGCAATCAAATAAACAAACCTCAAAAGTCTTCATTGAGAAGAAATACAATCAAAACAAATAAACAAACAAACAAACATTTTGCATGCCAGACCAGAGTATGAGAAAGAGTAAAAAAATAGTATATACTCTGTACTGCCGTCCCAAGATTATGGCAAAATTATATACTGACAGACCTGCATTGCACCCATGAACAGCATAGGAGAGAGAGAGCCTAAGATAAGATAAAAAACAAGCTTCATGCAAGTGAAAGACATGAAAACAGAGGTACCGCATTCAGAAAAATTAAAGGCAAATCCCATAGAGGCATTTTAACGAACGATTCACGTGCAAACATAAACAGCCAATTTTTAATCTACCTAGCTTGAAGATCAACATTATAAAAAATACACTTCACACCAAAGTAATTACCAACACAAAACATTTGGGAACACTGACTTTGTACTAAAAATGTTACATATTTAACTAGAATGTTAACTCACTGGTACTATATAGTATATATTACTTAATTTGATTTGCATATGCTAGCTATATGACAAATGGGTATTTGGATACTGAGATAGATTGGATACCAGGCATGAGAGGTATCCGATTGAGGGACATCCCAAGTTTCATCAGAACCACAGACCCAAATGACTTCATGCTGGATTATCTATTAGTAGAGATAGCACGAGCTAAAAGAGCTTCTGCCATCATTTTGAACACGTTTGATGCATTAGATCATGAAGTTTTAGATGGACTTTCGACTTTGCTACCACCTGTTTATTCCGTTGGACCCCTACATCTACAACTTAATCAGATCCCAGCAGATGACAAATTGAAGTCCATTGGATCAAACCTATGGACAGAAGAACCAGAGTGTCTTGAATGGCTTGACTCTAAAGAACCTAACTCTGTGGTTTATGTCAACTTTGGAAGCATCACAGTCATGACAGCTGAGCAGCTGATTGAGTTTGCTTGGGGACTTGCAAACAGCAACCAGACCTTCTTTTGGGTGATCAGGCCTGACCTTGTTGGTGGGGAAGCAGCTGTGGTTCCACCAAAGTTTATGGAAGAGACCAAAAAAAGGGGTCTATTGGCAAGTTGGTGCCCTCAAGAACAAGTTCTGAGCCACCCAGCCGTAGGAGGGTTCTTGACACACAGTGGTTGGAACTCTACCCTTGAGAGTTTGTGTGGTGGAGTGCCCATGATCTGTTGGCCCTTCTTTGCAGAGCAACATGCCAATTGTAGGTTCTGTTGTAAAGAGTGGGGCATAGGTATGGAGATAGAAGGTGATGTTGAAAGAAATTACGTAGAGGGCCTTGTGAGAAAGTTAATGGAGGGAGAGGAGGGCAAAGAGATGAGGAAGAAAGCCTTGGAATGGAAGAAGTTGGCAAAGGAGGCCACCACTGGTCCAAATGGGTTATCTTTTGTGGGTTTGGACAAAGTGGTTAACCAGGTGCTTCTATCTCCGAGGAATTAGAAATTTAGAATTGATTCAAAATCTATCTAGTTGTTGCTTTGTATTTGTCCAACAAGTATACCTATTGAGCTTAATAATACTTCTATCACAAAACCATTTTTCAGGTCTACATAAGATCGGTCCAATGTAAAATGAAGTCTACGGCAAATGTAATTGACATCGGTTACCACATTGATGCACGATATGAAAGTTTCATGGCCACGTTGTTGATCGGGAAATGATTGATGGGTCATGTGTGATAACAAAAGCCCTCTGTTACTATACCTAAAATACCTAAAGAGCTTGACAACCATGTTATTCTAACTCACTTACACTAGCCCGCCTAAATTCCTGCATTGAACTTCATAAATGTGCATTCCTGGGTTAATATACCAGAGATCAGAGTAACAAGGTCATTTGGTTACCAGAGAGGGAGAGAAACTCCCCTATCCCATCCAAGGTTCACTGCCCCCCCTCTTACCCTCTCTCTCTCTACATCGATTGATCAAATGAGTTCTTTTGATAATATAAATATACAAATATTTTATTAAAAATTTTAAAAGGAACGAGAACGTGCAAACAAATAAACAATCCTCAAAACTCTTCATCGAGAATACATACTGTCAAAACAAATAAACAAACAAAGAAACTTTAGTGCATGCCAGACCCCAAGTATAGTATATACTCTCGACTGCCGTCCCAAGATTATGGCAAAATTATATACTGACAAACTTGCATTGCACCCAAGAGAGAGAGAGAGAGAGAGAGAGAGAGAGAGCGCCAATGCTGCAAATAGCCAAACTGCTTCATGCAAGTGAAAGAGACATGAAAACAGAGGCACCAATTGATAAAAATAAATAAAGGCGAATCCCATACAGGCATTTTAACGAACAATTCACGTGCAAACGTAAACAGCCAACCCTTAAAGCTACCTAGCGTGAAGATTAACACTATCAAAAATACATTTTACACCAAAGTAATTACCAACAGAAAAACTTTTAACCTTGTTCAGCGCAGTCTAAGCAATTCTACTCCCAGTCTGCAATGTCTGCTTCAGAAGAAAACTCCATTTCTGACAGAATTAAAACAAGTAGATGCCAATTGGTAAGGTTATGTACCTACAGCCTCTTTAATATGTTTCGGTTTCTAATTTCTTTTCTTTCGGATGAAATCTTTCGGGATGTTTAACAGTGTTCCGGATTACTAACGGCAGAAGAAAGGAGGGAAGGCTTTGAAATGAAAATGGTAGCTTATGTAAATAGTTGGTCAAATAGTGGTAATTTTATAGGGATAAATTATATTTTCGCCGGCAAATAATTTTTTAATATGAGAGTGACACAAAAATTTTCCCAATTTCAAAATTCGTTTATACCATAACTCTTCGACAATTAATTAAATTAAAATTTTCAAGATATTTGGCAGTTGCTTAAAGGTTTTAATCAAGTTCCTATACAACATGCTTATCGGGAATCTAATCAAGTGGCAGATATTCTAGATAAATACGGTCATGCTTTTTCAGTTATGTATGTTTGGTTTGGAAATTCTCCAATAGATATTTTACATAGTTGACATTGTGATTTTATATGGTGTAAAGATACAATCGAATATCTTCTTTGTAATGTTTGTTTCTGGACTAAAAAAAAAAGTTGCAGGTCGAAGAATAGTGTTCATATTTCAGCATCAATAACCTGTCCCTATCCCAACATAGCAAGTATCTTCCAATCCACTCACCGCTACTTTCTCAAAGGGCACCACATGAGCCAATCATGATACAATAATTTTTTTTCTTTTCCTTGAGTGGAATCAAACTCTTAACCTATTGTAGCCATAATCCATTTCTCTCACTCTCCCCCACTGCTCGAACTCAATTTTATCTTTTCTAGTCATCATAAATTTGCTCTGTTGGCCTAAGTAGGCAAATCTGTTAATGGCTTTCAATGCCTTGACCTCAGAGAAGCCAAATGCAGTATGCATGCCATTCCCAGCTCAAGGCCACATAAACCCAATGCTAAAACTAGCCAAACTCCTCCACTTCAAAGGCTTCCATATAACCTTTGTCAACACTGAGTTCATCCACAAACGCCTACTTAAATCCCAAGGCCCCAACTCTCTCAATGACCTCCCCACTTTTCGTTTCGAAACAATCCCCGATGGCCTGCCTCCAGCTGATGCTAATGTTGCTGCCCAACATATGCCGTCCCTCTGCCAATCCATTAGGAAACACTGCTTACAACCCTTGAGAGGCCTTCTTTCGAAGCTCAACTCTTCGCCGAATTCGCCTCCGGTTACTTGTGTAGTTTCTGATGGCATCATGAACTTCAGTCTCGATGCAGCCCAAGAACTCGGAATTCCGGGTGTTATTTTCTGGACAACCAGTGCTTGTGCCTTCATGGGCTACATTCAGTATGGACCTCTCATTCAAAAGGGTTTAGTTCCTCTTAAAGGTAATAATTAATTAAAAAAAATGATTATGCAGGTAAAAACCCAACTGCTTAATTGTTTCTGTTTTTAGTTTTGAAAAAGAAAAACTTGTACTTGATGTTTCACATAGAATTTTATCAATTAACTCACTAGTTTTTTTTTTCTTAATTTGATTTGCAGATGCCAGTTACTTGGCAAATGGGTATTTAGATACTGTGATACATTGGATACCTGGAATGAAAAGTATCCGATTGAAGGACATCCCAAGCTTCATTAGAACAACAGACCCAAATGACCCGATTCTGGATTTAATTATGGTTGATACAGAACGAGCTAAAAGAGCTTCTGCCATCATTTTGAACACGTTTGATGCCTTAGAGCATGAAGTTTTAGATGCACTTTCGACTTTGCTACCATCTATTTACTGCATTGGACCCCTCTATCTACAACTTGATCATATCCCAGCAGATAACGAATTGAAGTCCATTGGATCAAACCTGTGGACAGAGGAAACAGAGTGTCTTCAATGGCTTGACTCTAAAGAACCCAATTCTGTGGTTTATGTCAATTTTGGAAGCAGCACAGTCATGACATCTGAGCAGCTAACTGAGTTTGCTTGGGGGCTTGCAAATAGCAACAAGGCCTTTTTTTGGGTCATTAGGCCTGATCTTGTTGGTGAGGGGAAATCAGTTGTGGTTGCACCAGAGTTTGTGGAAGAGACCAAGGGAAGGGGTCTATTGGCAAGTTGGTGCCCTCAAGAACAAGTCCTGAGCCACCCGGCTATTGGAGGGTTCTTGACACACAGTGGATGGAACTCTACTATTGAAAGTGTAGGTGGTGGAGTGCCCATGATCTGTTGGCCTTTCAATGCTGACCAACAAACCAATTGTAGGTATTGTTGCAGTGAATGGGGCATAGGGTTGGAGATAGAGGGTGATGTTAAAAGATATTACATAGAGGGGCTTGTGAGAAAGTTGATGGAAGGAGAGGAGGGCAAAAAATTGAGGAAGATAGCCTTGGAATGGAAGAAGTTGGCAAAGGAGGCTACTACTGGTTCCAATGGATCATCCTTTCTGGATTTGGATCAAATGGTTAACAGGGTGCTTCTATCTCCCAGAAATTAGAATGGAGCAATTGTGTTAATTTTTTTGTCCTAGGTAGCTCTTTGATAAAGAACAACGCTTGGGTGTTGGGTTCCTTGATGTTTTTGTTTGTAATTTGCCCTTATTTTTTGTTGGGTACATGAAATTAATAAACAAAAATTCTATTGGAAACCAATGGTTTGCTAAATAGGCCCAATGTTTTCGGGCTATCCTAAGATCCAATTATATATATGGCATAGAATAGAATTTTGACATCTATATTGATACGTAGAGTTATGAGTTTAAAAATTTAGCATTCTAATTTTCCTGTTTGAATGTCCACCCGTAACTGAAACTGGCCCCTCCATGGACCACTTACTGAGGCTTGCTTTCAATCCCCATCAGATTTCCCAAATTTTGAAACTATCCATCTTTTGGGCCATGCATGAAAGCGAAGTGAAATACGAGTTACTTTCTCTTGTTTGTTTCCTTCTTTTACATAAAGGTGAAGAGTTCTTGTAGTCAAGTCACGTAAAAAAGACAAAGAAAGAAAACTTTTTTGCAATGCAATCTCCTTGAGCCTGTCTTTTTTGACGAGCCACAGAGAATAAAGAAATGCCTCAAAAGAAAGTTGCTATATAAACTTAGTGTCGACACATAATGTTGGCTTAAAATTTAATGTTAAACTTAGTGTCGACACATAATGTTGTCGACACATAAGTTGCTATATCCTATTTCTTCTCCTTCTCCCCCGTGACTTCCTCCTCTTCCTCTGTCCATTCGCAATAGTCACTATAGCAAACAGTGACTGTTTGATGCTAAATCATTGATATCCCAGAGACATGATTGATGCTAAATCATTGACCTTTAGGTCCCGTTTGAATCATGGTAAGGATTGGTGAGAAATTTTCCCCGTTTATAGAAGATTTATTTATTTATTTTATATAATGTGTTCCCTATCCCGCTTGGTAGCACAGCTCATTGACCTTTTTACCACTTTAAAACTCCCAGGTACGTACTCTTTGTCATTGATTAGCATCCCATTTTCCTGGTTTGTGTTTGATTTGGGAGAGACGGGGGGAAAGGATGAGTTCAATTGCCTTGACCTCAGAGAAGCCACATGCAGTCTTCGTGCCCTACCCATCTCAAGGTCACATAAACCCTCTCATGCAATTAGCCAAACTCCTCCACTACAAAGGCTTCCACATAACCTTTGTGAACACAGAGTACAACCACAAACGCCTCCTTAAATCTCGAGGTCCCGACGCTCTTAACGGCCTCCCCACGTTTCGATTCGAGACCATTCCCGATGGCCTCCCTCCAACCGATGCCAATGTCACCCAAGACATACCATCCTTATGTGATTCCACTAGCAAACACTCCTTGCCTCACTTCAGAGACCTTCTCTCCAAGCTCAATTCTTCGCCCAATTCGCCACGTGTCACTTGCGTAATCACTGATGGTGTTATGAGTTTCACCCTTGATGCAGCTCAGGAACTTGGTGTTCCCGCAGTTTTTTTCTGGACACCTAGTGCTTGTGGTTTCATGGGCTACGTTCAGTTTCATCAACTCATCGAAAAAGGTCTCACTCCTTTTAAAGGTATTAATCAATCAATCAATTGTCTGATTAAGAGTAAACTGCCGTTTTTCCCTCTGAACAAAACATAACAGACTTTGTTAATTTGATTTGCAGATGCCAGTTATTTTACAAACGGGCATTTAAATACTGAGCTAGATTGGGTACCAGGCATGAGGAACATCCGTTTGAAGGACTTCCCAACCTTCATGAGAACCACAGAGCCAGATGACATCATGCTGAATTTTCTGGTGGGTGAAACAGAGAGAACTAAGAAAGCTTCCGCCGTCATTCTGAACACATTTCATGACTTGGAACATGAAGTCATAGACGCACTTTCAACTTTGCTTCCACCTGTTTA